TTAAGCACTGTTCTACTAGGAAAGCATTCTGCATTAGTCGTAAAAATTATTTCCATCCCATTGACTCAAGCAACCAGATCACCGTCAATGCTAGTGGAAAAGAAAATGCCTGGAAGATATTCAAAGTGGGGGGAATGGAGGGATTTCTGATGTTGACACCCTTGTCAGTAGAAGGTAGTTTTCCAAGAGCAGATAGATCTATGTGTTTTTTTTTTATTATTCTCAGTTCTCAGTTTAGAGCTTTGTTTTGCTCAGTACATGCTGCAGTTCATTCTGCAGCAGTCCCATTCCATGTGAGAGGTATGACTTCACTCTTTGCCTGGACAGCAGGGACAGGTTCTCTATTTTATGATTATTATTATTATTGTTGTTGTTGTTGTTGTTGTTGCTATTGTTTATTTATTTATTTTGCAATAGTACATCATCTTTTTTTTCGATTCCTTCTGTGGCTTTTCTTCTGGTTCTTCTTCTTCTTTCTCTGCTAAAAGTGAATCACATATCAATGCTTATTCTGGCCATAAACCTGCCAGATGTTTTTCACATTTTTTATTTAAGAACTGATCATTAATGCTTTGCATGCAGGGGGGAGAAAAAGGCAGAAGGCAAAAAAAAAAAAAGAAAAAAAAAAAAGAAAAGGATGTTAGCTTTTTTTCCTCATCTTTGGAAACTCTAGAGAATAAATATACATAAAGAATTTTTCAGTACTGTTGTTCAAATTGCTCAAAAAATGTATCAGTCAAACAAGAGCAGTTGAAAATAAAAGAAAAAAAGATCTTGGTTTGCAAAGCAACTGCATAGCCAAAATACTCTGCAAACTAAGTCACGTATATGATTCTCCTTAGCGTGTCCAACCAGGTCAATAATTAGGTAGCAGATCTGCCAGGAGCCATTGCTTTGAAACCTCAGCAAAAGATCCTAAGAGCAAAGTAGTAGTAATAATAATACCCATAAGACACTGGAAAACTCTCAGTCAAAGTAGAGTACATTGAACCACGATCTACACATGAATGCTGAAATTTTCATGACTGTGGGGTTTTCAGCTGCTTTGCTACTGCTCTCCAGGATAATGCCGACACAGACTAATGTTTTTCACCAAATGGTGCCCCATCCGCTACTCCACCCACTGCTGATTAGCTAAGGCTTGTTTTCCAGACATTTCTCTGGCTTATATAAACTTCAAAACCTTCCTAACTCTTTTTCTCAGTCTCACAGCTTGCTCTCGTAAGTTGCCTTTGAAGCTTTCTCCTAGAGGTGAACAGTGCTATCTGAGCATTCTGGGTAGATCGTCGTACCTTACTATCTTTGCTTTGATATAAGTAACCTTTCCTCTCTGATGAGATGTCAGTGGCTACGTCAGCAGTTCAGAGCCTGCTAGCCCTAAAGTAGCAAGCAAAACAGCAGCTAGGTGGTACACAATATTTTAATCCTCAGTCTGCTTTACGTTCATAAAAGCAATGGGAAGAGAACATAATTCACCAATTTTATTTAATTGATTTTATTAATCAGATAGAAAAGCAATTTCAAATGATCAGGGAATTGAAGGAAAGGACAAATTTAAGACTTTATTGAAAACAATTGGAAGTTTTCCTTTGCTTGATACAAGGTTTCTGTGAGCGTTATCGAACCACAGTTGCCAAATGCCACAGAATTTAAAGTCATGTTCAGTCACGTACAACTAAGAAATTAAAATAATTTTGAAAACTGGATACTGATGTCTGCATGCAGACCTGTTCCTGATTTTGCTGTTTTCTTAATTTCCCCCTCTGGATAGTCCTTGATGTTCTTATCAATTACAGTGCAACAGCACAGGTGTAATTCAAAGTGAAAAGAAAGTGCTTGCCCCTCATCTGTCGTATGGCAATTTTTCATGCCTCTGTTTCATAGAATCATCAAATTATAGAATCACAGAATCATAGTGTCATTAAGATTGGAAAAGACCTCCTAAGTTCACCTAGTCTGACTGTCATCCCACCCCCACCATGCCTGCTGACCGTGTTCCTCAGAGCCACTTCCACATCATTCTTGAACAACTCCAGGGATGGTGACTCCACCATCATTCTGGGCAGTCTGTGCTCCAAGAAGAAATGTTTCCTTATATCCAACGTACAACTCCCCTGGTGCAACTTGAGGCCATTCCCTCTCATCCTATCACTTACATGGGGGAAGAAGCTGACCCCCACCTTTCCACAACTTCTTCTCAGATGGTTGTAGACAGCAATAAAGTCTCCCCTGATCCTCCTCTTCTCCAGACTGAACAGTTACCTCAGTTACCTCAGCCACTCCTCCTAAGACTGTATCTCATTTATCTGTGTATAAAGTCACTGAACTTCACTGGCATGTACTGGCATTGTGTAGGGCTACTTCAGGGCCGTATTCTGACCTCTGTCATTCTACAATGAGACTTAAGTGTTCCTGAACTTGCAAATGGTCCAACTGGTACTGCTGTATCCATTCTGGTCACTGCAGGATATATCTGTGCAAGTATTATTTGCATCTAAGTAGTTCTTCCATAATAAATTCTTAAGAATGGATGCAAGGAATAATCTTATCATCTAGCTACTAGTCAGTGTAGAAAGAGGGAGAATTTTTGGAAAGGGTGATCCTTCAGCTGATATAACTGAAAAGGAAAGAAAAATAATCTTGTGAAACAAAACATGAATCCTTAAGCTCTCCGTAGGATTACACAGACTTTAGTGCTTGCTATAGAAAGATGAATCAGTGGCTAGCTTGCAGAATAAAAGTAATAGGAATTTAGCTAGACCTTACAAAGTCCTTGAAGCTCGTAATAAAATCTCACATTTGTATATATGTTTGCATGATGAAGTCTTCCATCACAGAACATGCCACTCTTTTTCTGTGAACCCAACAAGAGAAGAAGATTCCTGGATTTGTTGTTTCAAGGGTTAATCCACATTACAGTAAATCATTGGAAATTTAAACTAGCAAGCATGCAGCCTGTAGCACAGCAGATCTAGGTAGTTAATTTGCATGTGGTAGTGTGTAATAAGGAGGGACAAGACATTTTATATGTGTAGCTATTATATTACATTGCTATGGATGGCTAGCTAGCCAGATATGCACATAACTGAGAGGAAAGCATTGCAAGCTGCTGAGGTGAGTTGAGCAGAATTCCGTGTTCACCTATACTGGGTAGCCAAATATTCTGTGTGCTACAGCATGTAGAATTCATTTCCAGATACAACAGGCTGCTAGTCTCATCTTTCAGTGAAAGTAAACTACACTAAAAGTTCGGGATAATAAATAAGGCAGAAGACAATCTCTTTGAATACACTTTGAATTCTACTTTCTTTTCATCTCTTCTTTTTATCTCTTCTAAGACTGAATGTGTACATGTCTACAGAGTCCCAAGGGAGCTGGATGATGTGGGTGCTGAGCTGCTCGCCACCATATTTGAAAAGTCCTGTTTGTCTGGTGATGTTCCTGAGGACTGAATAAAGGGAAAAATCTCTCCCATTTACAAGAAAGGGAAGAAGGAGGACTTGGAGAACTGGTGAGCCTCACCTGTGTTCCTGGGAAGAACACTCCGGGAACAGAGAACAAGTGGGTTATCCAAGACAGTCAGCATGGCTTCACCAAGGAAGGGCCATGCCTGACCAATCTGTTGACCTTCTATGTTGTCAGTGACAGCATTGGTGGACAAAGGGAAGGTAACTGATGTCATTTAACCAGAGCTGTGAAAGGCCTTTGACATGGTTCCCCACCACATCCTTATCTCTAAATTGCAGAGATATTGTTTTGAAGGGTGGACTAGTTGATGGACAAGGAATTGGATGGAAGGTTGTAGCCAGAGGGTTGTGATCAATGGCTTTATGTCCAGGTGGAGGCCAGTTCTGAGTGATATTCCCCCAGGGATCTGTCTTGGGTCCAGTACTCTAGCTTCTTTATCAATGGGATTGAGTACACCCTCAGGAAGTTTGCTGATGACACCAAGCTAAGCAGTGTGGTTGATAAAGCGGAAGGAAGGGATGTCATCCAGAAAGACCTTGATAAACTTGAAAGGTGGGCCCATGTGAATCTAATGAGGTTCCACAAAGAAAAATGCAAGGTTTTGTCCTTGAATAGAGGTAATCCCAGATATGTATACAAATGGGGAGAACTCCTTGTGAGTAGACCTGCTGAGAAGGACACAGGAGTTCCTGTTGATGAAAAACTTAACATGGGCTTGCTGCCTGGAAGGTCAGTAGTTTCCTGGGTTTCATCAAAGGAAGCCAGGCAGCCAGCAGGGAGAGAGAGATGATTGTCTTCCTCTCTTCTGCCCTCATGAGGCCCCAGCTTGATTACTGCATCCAAGCCTGGGGCCACCAGCACAGGAAAGATGTTAAGCTGTTGGAACAGGTCCAGAGGAGGATCTTGAAGATGATCCAAGAGCTGGAGTACCTCTCCTATAAAGATAAGCTGAAGGAACTGGGCTTGTTCAGCCTGGAAAAGAGAAGGCTGCAGGGACACCTCATTATGGCCTTCCAGTATTTAAGTTTATAAACTTGAGAGAAATCAACTTTTCATACAAGTAGATAGTGATAGGACAAGAGGGAATGGTTTTAAATTAAAGAAAGTGAGCTTTAGATTAGATATCAGGGGGAAGGTTTATTTTTTGAGAGAGTGGTAAGGTGCTGAAACAAGTTGCCCAGAGAGACTGTGGATGCCCCATACCTGGAGGTGTTTAAGGCCAGATTGAATAGGCAATCTATTCTAGTATTTCATCTAGCAGCTGGCAACCCTGCCTGGCAGGGTGGAACTTGAACATCCTTGAGGTCCCTTCCAACCCAAGCCATTCTATGATTCTTCTCCCTTCTATAACATCAAATCTATGGAGTGTGAATGGGAACTGCTGAGTCACGGCTTGAACCTCTGATTGATCACCTGAGGTGAGCAATGCATCAGCCACAGGAGCACAGGTGAAGGAAATTCACCTGTGCTGCCGGAAGGGGTGGAGCCTGGCTCCACCTCTCCTAGACCCATTTAAGAGCTGACTAGCAGGGGGAAGGATCTCTTTTGGAGATCCACTCTGATGGAGTTTTGTAAGTGAGTCTAGGATGTGGGTAAGCATCCTATCTATTCTCCTTTTGTTATTATAACCTGTTTTGTCTAACTCTCTTGTTTATTTTGTAGTTATGACATCTTAATATTCATTGATTATAGATGAGTGTATTTTACTTAGATTGCTAAACGCATTTTTTTTAATAATTGCTGCATCTCTACTTTTTAATCAAAAAGTGCCAGAAGACATTCTCGGTGCCATACATTTTTCTACTATACAAAAGCACTTTTAGAGCCATCACTAATATGGTTCTTGTCTTAGCCTGCTTGGATGCTAGGACACTACAAGATGTCTCTTAGTTCCTGTTTGTAAGTTAGCATGTCCTAGATGTCCAAGTAAATAGTTTGCATGTGACTACATTGTTTGAGAGGCTGAGAGTTTCATATAAATGAGAGCTGTTATCTGCCTTTTAGACCCAGTGCCAAAGAATGTGCCTAGGCACTTTAAATTTTACAGTACAGATGGAGCAAGTGTTTTGCATATACATGTGTTTACCATTTGGAAATAAAAGCAGTATGATTTTTTTAACAAAAAAACCTACAAAATAATGTATTTCCTGCTAAACAATGACAATTTTTTAACAAATTTGCTTTACATAAAACTGTATGTGCCATTTGAATCCAAACATGAAGATGATGTCTTACATAACCAGAATGGACTGAAGATAATATTGGGTGATCTTGATCTTTTTGGTTGACCAGATACAAATACAAACCTTTCTAACCCTGGATCCATGCTTCTCACTCAGATGTATTTGACTTTTTCTCTCTCCTATAGGCTACCAGTGCTCTGGACATTGGAAGCCAAAAAAAAAAAGGTTTAACAGAACTGAGCCCTTGAGCACAGCATGTACTTTATTTTACCACTACACATATAAAGACGTATCTACTGCCTCACTGGATCAATATCTTAGTGGGAGAACTTGAGCAGCATACCTGATTCTGTTTTTAGTCAGTTGTGACCAAACTGATGCTTACTGCATGAGTCTTAAAAACATTGGCCTCTACTACTTAAAACATATGCAGCTAATTCAAGTATGTTAATATGGATGGAAAATAAAAGGATATTCAGGAAATTATGACAATTGCTTGCAAATCTAGAACAAATCTAACAAAACTTTCATCGAAAAGACTAGGGGTTTAGCATCAATTACTTGAGAAATAATGAATAAGCTGCAGATATTACATAGGAAGAAATAATCTGTAGGCAATACAGAGTGGATTTGGGACCATCACCATAGCTATTCTGGACCAGATCATTAGATTAGAGATCGCTCTTTACAGGAAAATGCATAAGGCTGAATATTGAATGCTCATGTTTACAGCTCTCTTTGCAGACATTTATGACTCATTTTGAAGAGAAATAGATTACTCTTAGAGCAACAAGAAACAGAATGATGGATTACTAAGTGCCTTTTTCACCTTAGTAAAGACATTTGAGAAGGGGGAATAGCATTGTTTTAAGAAGTATAATCATATGCATAGCTAAATATTTTAATGAATCATATACCGTGTCATTCTCCTTTTTCATTTCTCTCTTATGGGGGAGAAGATGGAGGTTCTACTTGTGAGTTCTCCAGGCTGCTTTGTAAATGCAATGTTTTTTTTTTGTCCTGAACTGCCACTTCATACTTTATTTTCTAAAATAATTTTTCCATACTACTATCAATCTCTAATTACAATTTCAATAGTGTATGTCGCATACCACCTAAATTTTCTTTCATTTAGCAATTAAACCTCTTGGCTAGGCTGCCATACTCATACTGAAACATGCCCAAAGAATGTGGAGTGGGTTGCCCATTGGAGTTCCCTGTCTGCATTCCTCTGGAGGGAGCCAAAATAACTAGTTTATGTGGTTACATGGGTTATTTTAGATAAGATGAATCCCAGTGTGGCATGAGCTCTGAGGAGAAATTATTAATTCTTGTTGCTTGCATTTTGTTATGATGTTGATATGCCTACATACTTCCTTTCCAAAATGTCTGTGGAGCTGTCTGATCTTGCAGATGATCAGCTACTGTTCCCTACTCTATAAATGAAGGCTTGAAGTTCAGCACCTTTGAAAACCAGGTGTATGATGTGGCATTGTTTAGCTTGAATTCCTGTTATGTGACTCCAAAGGTAAGATTTAAAAGAAATGAGAAAATAAAAAGAAGCAGATGCTTCAGAAATGCTGTTCTTAATCTTTATTTATTCTCTGCATTTACAGTTGCCAGATAGCTGTATTGGAGTTTGTCAAGTGCTTTGAAATTCTGAATGCATATGCTACAGTCAAGCAGTTTTATCTTCATTTACATGTACTCTTTGGATTTCTAATACTTATATTACTGCCTGTTTGTTACATCTGATGGCTACAAGCTGATGTCCCCACTGCCAGTAAGAATACTATCTAGGTTATAAGCTTACTCCTAGCAAACTCTATTGTTTGTAGCTGATGTACTTAATGCAAAATATTTTTTTAGCCCTAATATATCTTTCTATCAGGAGTTGATGTAGGAGATGATTTAGCATGATTTGAGCAGTGCATACTGGACAGTTTGAATTTTTCACTCTTGATTTACTCTGGCCAAACTCTTCAGAAAAAGTCTTTAACTGTTCCTTGGAGAGAGAGAGCTTTTGCTTGAGGTACAGTAAGCTTGACAACACAGAATCATTACAGATTGTCCTGAGGTTTGTATTTGTCCACTCTTGCACTTGAGATCCACAATTTGGGTCAGAGGCATTTTTGTTTGTATATTTACTTTCACCTTGCTGTAGAATAAATAGAGTATTTGAATTTGATTATTTTCAGTAAAATGTAAGCTGGAATATTAACCTTTCTTATTTGTTTGTCAAAAAAGAGAAATCAAAGTACATGCATTTAGAGAGAAACCACCAGCAGAAGAATCAAATTAATAGGGCTATCCCAGTGGTCCCCGTATCAGTGATACTAGAACTCTGCTATCTCTAGAACAGGGGATTCCTAACAAGTAAAGTGAGTTCACCCTCTACGTTGGTGTGTGAAGCTAATATTTTCCACCATTCATGATGTCAACAAGATTTCAAAGGTGCTCTAGCTAAGTATCTAGCATTTCAGACATTCATCCATCGTCTCTAGTATATAACCTAAAGTCCTCCATGTACAAAATGTGATAGAAATGTAACACATCTGCTTTCAATAATCTGGCAAAAAATGCATAACTCTCATTTAGGATTTCCACTTTCAGTGCTGAATTTGTTAATGAGCAAGAATGAAAATTAAGGGCATGTTTTGGTTTCTTTTTCAACTAGGTTTAAGTACCATTCATCTATGAAAGTACCATTCAACTGTAATTGTTTCCTTGCAGTGAAAGCTTGATCTGAATTAGTCAACTGTTATAAGAAGTTTCACTTTTGTAGTAACTGCAATATTCATTTCTAAAACAGAAACCAATTGCTTATTGCTTGACTTTGTAACCAATAATGTGTTTTCTATCAGCACAGTGTCACTGATAAATCTAGGTTTGCCTGCTTCCTAAAAGTAGCATTTAAAACAATGAAATATTCTACTGTTTCTGTTTTCCCAGTGTATTATTTGTACTTCATTAAACAGCTGGTAATATTAAGTAATAATATTATTCCTTGTCCCTCTGTCTATAGCTGCAATTATTGCTATGACTCTTTACTCACCAGGCTGTGATTTAACAAGTCATTTAAGCGTGTTGTTAATGTTTGAATATGCGATACATTATTTTATTGACTAAATTCTTGCAAATTCTGGTCTCAATATGGAGAGAACTATTGAAGAATTCCAGCTAATTTTCATCATGGAGAAGCTTATTCTAATTTCAATTTGTGTGCCAATAATGCAGAATAGTGAAAGTGAGGATGATTTTTCACCACCTAGAAAACTAAAAAATCACTGAGGTACAACATTTTCTAAAATCATGGAGGGAACAACAGCTGTAAGTCTTGATGAAATGTTGACATGCAACACAGATATAAAGGGTGAGAAAATACTGTGAAGGAAATTGTAATTTGAGCATCTTATAGGAAAAAAAGTAACTGAACTCTCAACAGGTGTTTGGTATATTAAACAGAGCATTTAATAAATGCTTAAATTAGTGAATGTAGTTTCCCTGTTGAAGAGTAATTTTTGTGCTAAATTCAATAGTAACTATTCTTAGCATAACAGTGACAGTCCACTATGCATTAGAGCAATTGCTTTGACTAGTAATTGAAGAGTGAATAAAAGAAACATGATCAAAGCACTGACTCTTGCCGTAAAATCTTTTTCCTCTCCCAATATCATTACTCTGTCATTTACTGATTTCAGGAAATACAAATCTTCATAAGAGAATGACATGTTCATTCATCAGAACATGCAACTGCCAGACATGCTAAGGGACAAATATGATTCACTGAACATCCAGAAGATGGCATAGATGTTGCAAGCCTAGTGCAGGGAAGTCTTTAAATGCCATTACACAGGGAAAAATAATCTTCTTACTACCTGTCTTCACACTACTACATCTTTACACTACATCATCAAATGCTGGTTCACAGAGAAAAGTGATCAGTTTGAGGAAAGATTTAAGGACCCTGGTGTTCAGAGTTACAGACACTGTCTGGGAATGGACAGAGTTGCTTGCAAAGTCTGAAATCTACAAAGAGCAAGTGGCAACAAAGTGGCTGAGGAAAGCTACAGCTAGGCTTAGGCTGTCTGTAAATAAAGCACAATGATAGGGAAGCCTGCTTGTCAAACTGTAGATTTAGATAGGGAAAAGCTTTAAAATGGAAGTCAGTTATTTTGGTGCTAATATGATATGGATGTGGATTATTGTAATGATATTTTTATTAGATTTTAATTGTGTTACAAAAAGAACTTGAATATTATCAAGTGTGGTAGTATTATTACTTTTGTGTTGAGTAGAAGGTGCAGAAGGTGTATATTTTTACTATTTCTAATCTCATTTGATCTGCAAAGTAAAAATATATTTAATTTTGAGTGAGTCCTTTAGTGTTTTTTATCAAATCAGAACTAGCATAGAGGCAGAATTAAAAGATAGTCCTTGACTGAAAGTATGTACAAAATATGTATTATATACATGTAGTGTTTTAAACTGGTAGGTGGTTCAGCATGACAAATGTTTGCTCACCCCTCCTTCCCAGTGGGATTGGGGGGGGGGGAGAATGAAGAAGCAGCTAAACAAAGTAGAACTGATGCACTGAGATAAAACTATTTACTAAGATAGAGAAAGGAAAGGATAGTGGTTATGACTACATTATATATATATTTGAATATATGTAACAAGTGATGCACAAGCAATCACTCACCACCTCCTGATGGCCAGCTAGAGAGAGCAAAATGAACTCCCACCTCCCTTCAAAACTCCTTCCATATGATGTCATATGGCATTAAATATCCATTTGGCCAGTTTAAGTCAGCTGTCCTAACTCTGTTCCCTCCCAGCTACTTGGGCCCTTTGCTGTAAATGGCCTTGGCTCTGTATGATGCTGCTTAGCAGCAGCTGTAAACATCAGTTGTATTATCAAGATCATTTTTCTCCTAAAACCGTAACATAGCATCATACCAGATGCTCTGAAGAAAACAATTCCATACCAGCTGGAAGTAAGACAACACAATAGACTACTGAAAGCTTAATGCTAATCATCAGAGAAAAGGTGCAATTTCATTAAGTCTTGTATGTATTGTTTATGTGAGATCAGGCCTGGACACTCACCTCTGCACTCCTCAGGGTGAGTCATGACCCAGAAAACTTGAAAGAAAGAAAAGATGGGGCTTCCACTTCTCTAAAAAGTAACAGACTTCTTTGCCCCATGCTCCTTACATACAACCACAAGTGTAGCTCTTTGCTTTGTGTAACAATAGGAGAAATAAGTGAATTAGATGTGGATTAATGAGTAATAGACTGGACTAAAGAACAGGAAAACTGCTTTCTGCTTTGATACCAGCATTGTGTAGAAGCATGGGTCAGTCGCTCAGAGCTGGCTTCATACAGCAAGACAAACACCACACATTTAAGTTTTCCCAAAGACTTTCTTTGTTGAAGTCCACTCTTAGAAATATAGACATTTCTTACATAAATGTTCTCTTGGTACTTTAAGTTCTTGAGAAGTCCTGACAGCACTTATACCATAGCTGATCCATGCCAGCTTTCGCAGGTGGGCTTTTCATCTTTTTTTCATCTTTCTTGTGATTCACTTGATCCAACAGTCTTCCTACTACATCCCCTCAAACTGAGCTTCAGCTGATATCTAGCTGTCAAGAAGGATCTTATTTTACATCCAGTAGCTTGAGATTACCTATTGTAAAACATTTCATTTAGAATGATCCATTAGGAAATCAGAAAGCATCAAGGATTTTAAAATTTCTCCACAGAAATCTGATATCAGCAAAAAACTACCAACCAGCTTTCCTGATACATGGTGTCAAAGACACTTTGACCTCAATCTTTGTTATGATTACCACTATCTGTGGTAAATAATTAAAAATAATTGTTAATGGAAGATAATCCAGTCTAGTTTAAAGTGAAAAATGTGAATAATAAGAAAGAAAGAAGAAAGCGGACATCATTCAGTCTTTTTTTTTTTTTTTTCATGCTTTTCAGTAGAAAGACTCCTACTCTGAAATATTACGTTCTTATGTCTTCCTGGTGACATAAACATCACTTTTAAAGCACAAGAACAGGAGTATCTTCAAAGGAACACAATAGTATTTTCAAACTAGTGTAGAAGTTCTGGACTGCTCTTATAAAATCAAAGTGCACTCTGTCCTGTTCTGTTGTTAATGCTGAAGCTTTCAGCGTGAGATCACTCCATTTCTTATTGACATTTCTTGTTGTTACCAAACAGATAATAGATTCTCACACAAGAACAGTTTCTAATTAAAGTTGAAAAACCTGTTTCTATATTCATAACCATAAATGCCGTGTTTGTTTCATGAAAGAAGGTACAAATTTCCACTCTTAGTCCAAATAACATAGAGCTGGCAGTTCTGAAGATAATTTACCACAAATAATCAAGAAAAACATACTTTTAATCCTGAGATTACATTGCACATCTCAATTTTTTGTTGTTTTGTCCAGAATTTTTATGTGTAACTGGCATTAAATGAAATGCCAATAAATTAAAAATGTATTTATGAAACAAAACTTAATGACTGTATTTCAGCAAGTTAAACAGTTTTTTCCATGTAAGTGTAGCTGGCATTATAAAAGTGTTGGGCTGAGATATAGCATTCCTTGGTACGTTCTGTCATAGACCAATTTCTGTGTTTGCTTTGGTGTGTACACCTTGATTCATTGAGTGGAGCACAGATTCCTCTCTTGTCTTTACAACCTTTTTTCATCCAATGTTTGTTGATTGACTTGTTATATTAAAGATTCATTGTAATTAAGTGTCAGTTTAGAGCACTCCTTAATAGAACCTTCAAACAACCTATGGATAAACTGTGTATATGCACAATATCTCCATTAAGCCATTCAAATAGCTCTGACGTGAGCATGGTAAAATTCTGACTGCTTTAAAACAAGAATTACTGCTTTTGTTCTTCTTTCCAATGACAGCTCAACAACTGATTTGCAATAGCATGAAGAAAGCTGGTTTGAAATAAACTGATGAAGAAGTCACAAATGCTATCTAGCTGGACCTGCCCAGCTAAATAAAGGAATGAAGATATTCTGAGTAAAAAGAATAAAAAGGCATGAGTTGAAACGTAAAGCTAGCTTTTTCTGTGGTCTCTGAAAAAAAAAATTGAAGTAAGTGCTAAATGTCAGCAAACTAATTTCAGCATCACTGCTAGTACGGTTACCACTGAATTGTACAATCTGAAATCTTTCAGTTTCTCCAGTGATTAGAATACATAAATAAACAAATGGAAATACAAGGTGATGGGATTTATTTCAGACAGAAGGTTGGCTGTCTAAGCCCCATTTTCCAGTAAAGTAAAAGGTAATGAAGCCAGCCACCTCTGCCATCCTCCTTTGAGAAAAGATTGAGCTTTGGGATTTCCTGAGGCCAGCCCCAACTCCCTCTGTGGTCTGGCTGTGTGAGGGAATGTGACACCAACCAAAAGCTCAGTGTCACGGTTTTGTTTGAGATACAGTTAACTTTCCTCATAGAAGCTGTATGACGCTGTGTTTGAGACTTTTTGGATGAAAATAGTGGTGGTAACACAAATGTTTTAGTTGTTGCTGAGTAGTGCTTATACTAAGTCGAGGAAAAGATAAAAATCTTTTCGTGCTGCCCTGACAGGGAGGAGGCTGGGAGTGCACAAGGAGATGGAGGGGACAGAACAAGGGCACCTGACCAAGTCTGGCCCATATGGATGTCCCATACCATATGGCATTATGCACAGTAATAAAACCTGGAGTAAAGAAGGATGAAGGAAGGATGTTTGGAGTGATAGTGTTTGTCTTGCCAATAAACCATTATCTGTGATGGGCCCTGCTATACTTGAAATGGCTGAACGTCTGTCTACTGATTGAAAGCAGTGAAGAAATTCCTTGCTTTGGTTTGTTTGTGTGCACAGATTTTACTTTACCCAGGCAACTATGTTTTATCTAAATCTATGAATTCTCACACTTTTACCTTTCTGATTCTGTCCTATA